ACTGGACGTCTCAGTGGTACCATCCTTCAGTAGTGGTTCAGATCCCCGCCTCCTTCGAGCAAAAGTGCGAATCAGCCGAAAGCTTAAAAGAAGATCTGCCACCGTGTTGGAGGACGGAGAGAAGCCGTATATGACGACGTCAGATTGGAGAAGCTCCTGACCACTTGTGACTGGCCAATCGAGGAGGGCCAGACGAGAGACTGCTTCTCAGAGAACTGAGAGCCTGTGGTGAAAGCGCCTCAATGCTTCGCACAAGGAACTTGGAACGAATTTCGAAAGCCACCAAGGATTGCTACAAAGGAGAAGAGCACTGAGGCTGGATCCAACTGCATCACATCTCGAGCGACTGGTTGCCAATACCATTGCAGAACAGCTTTGCAAGGAAATCTTCGAAAGTACAAACAATCGAAACAAACAAGGAAGGAGGTCTAAAGAAGTGCCACAGGGACCTTCTTGACTACCTTGCTCCACTGACAACATTACTAAACGAAGACGGGACTCGCCTTCCCGGCAGAAGGAATCGACCACAAGAAGATTTATACCAATCTCTTCCGCTCTTCACACCCGTGTCAAACCTCGTAATCCCTACTGAAGGGATACAACCACGGATTCTTTCTGCTGGAGTACGCGCCGCAACCCAGCCATAAAGGCAGCCACGGCTCCAGGACCGGACCATGTTTCGGCCGACCTCCTACGAGCTGGAGGATAAAGCCTAAAGAGATACTTGCGGACCATCTAAATTTTACCTTCAAAAGGAAAGGATCTCCGACAAGTGGAAAAAACCCGAACAATCCTTCTTCATAAAAAGGGCGATAAGGAGGATATTTGGAACTACCATCCATTATGCCTGCTGAGCGTGCTTTACAAGCTCTTCACGTTATTCTCACTCGCATGTCACATTGGATGAAGCCCAACCAACAGGCTGGACTTCGCAATTCAGCTGCGTGGATCATATTCAGACTGTTTCGAGCATTATCGAAGTTTAGCGAAAGTACCGCCTACCTCTCGTCCTAAACTTCGTCCACTATGAGAAAGCGTTTGACAGCGTCGAGACCCACACTGTCAGCCAGGTTTTCCATCGTCCTCCTGACATACCAATCTCGAAGGAAGTCGACAAGGCGACACCGTGTCACCAAGGCTGTTCACCGCCGCGTTGCAGTGGGTGATGAAATAACAAGATTGGAACGAGTGAGGCATAGGAGTTGACGGAAGATTCCTCTCAAACCACCGTTTTGCGGACTACATTGTTCTCTTCTCGAGAAATACCACTGAAGCGGAGAGACGATGGAAGGCAAACGAAGTAGGGAAGCAGATAGGACTGCGAATCAAGCAGAAGAAGACTCAGTTCATGAAGAACGCTTTTTGGGAGGATCAGGAAATGGAATTAGAAGGCTCTCCAATCGCGGAGACG